ATATATATATATATGAAAGTATTGAATTGTTATTGTGTTTTGATAGTTAACAGCTAATCATAAAGGTCATTTTGAATTTCGTTTATGTAATGTGGATAGTAATCCAAATTCAGATGCAACACAAGAATGTCTTGATCGTCGAGTATTAAAAATTGCTGGAACAGATTCAACCAGATTACGTGATGTTGATAAATATGGTACAGCAACAATTACTGTTCGTGTTCAACTTCCATCAGATGTTGCTTGTCGACATTGTGTTTTTCAATGGAAATATACAGCAGGAAATAATTGGGGTACAGATCCTATAACTGGTCAATCAGGTCTTGGAATGGGTATTGAAAATGAAACATTCATGGGTTGTTCAGATATTTCGATTAATGGTAATGGTTCACCTATTGAAACAAGACCTCCTATTATTGTTACACCTGGGTAAATCAAAAGTCATATTTGTTTATGTTTAGGAAGCAAAAAAAACATTTTTTATTTTAGTACTCCAGCAACAACAAGAAGAAAAACAAGTTCTCGCCCACCAAGTGGTTCAACTACTTGGTCATCTAATGGTGTTCAATATAAAACTAATGATATAGTATTATATGAAGGCAAGCAATTTCAATGTATCGCCGATCATACATCATTTCCTGGAGCTGAACCAGGCATCCTTACTTGGGCTTGGTGGAAATCTATAAACTAAATATATTTTCTTCGATCATTATAGATCAATCTTGTTTTTGAAAAAAATTACGCATACTGAGAAATGTTATTTGGACATGAAAAAATTTATTCTAATAAATACAAGAATAAAAGTAAAGAAGTGTTGTGTGAATTGAAATGTTCACGAGCTGCCTATATTCGATGTTTGGATTATATTGACGAAGGAGATTATCTTCGATTTGGTTTGCCTTAAGGTTTAGTTTTAAAGAAATGAAAATCATTGTTGTTGTAGTTCTTTGCTTGAAATATCAAATTATGACTTAGTATGATGACTTTTCTTGTGAAATACAGAGAAGTTAATGACCTTAGAATCACTTTAATATTCAATAGAAATTTTTAATTGTTTGAAATAATTTCTAATTATTTATTTATTTTTTTAATCGAAAACCAAACTTCATTATTTTGCCATTGATGTCTACTATACCAATTTCATCCGAATATGGAAACTATATATCCAAATGCTAACAAGAAAACGGTTTCAACTAATTAATCCCTTTTTCACGAGAAACTACGAAATTGTAGGTTGTCGATCATAGTAATTTTGAATATGAATATAAGAAATTCACAACAACCTTCATATATGCTGAATTTATAAAATACTAACTTTCCAGATTAACAAAAATGGTATCGAAATCGTTTTGAAACTGCTGAAATTATAGAGTAAATCAAGTTTTCTAGAAAGTAATAGTTTTTTCATAAACTTCAAGAAAAAATAATATCATTCAGAAAGTTTATAAATTGCAATATTGATGTACATCTGTGGTACGAATTGAAATGGTTGCATATTCTTCAAAAAAAAACCTAGGAACTTCAAACAAGAAAAGTTTCTGTTTTCTAATCAATTCGACATGCTCTATAATCTACGCGGATCTGAAAAAAAAATTTTCTGGCGAAAAGTGCATTAGTCTGGAAAATCGATTTCCTAGAAAACTAACATATGAAGATGTTAGAGGATTTCTCATGCTCTTAATCTGAATCGCCATGATCGATAACTTATCATCCAGTAGCTTTCATTAAAAAACAGATTGATTCTCTAAAACGGTTTCATTGTGAAAAGCTTTTCAAGTCATAAAATAATGTATTCGAATTTGAAATCTACTGATATTTCTCTTCAAATAACAGTCGATGAAAACTGTTAAAGGTGATTATAAGTTTTTTTTTAATGATTTTTGGGTACAGAAAGTTTTTCTCTATCGAACACTGCATGCATTATTCGACGGTGGAAATCTTTCTCTCGAAACCTATATATGTCCCGCTCTGTAATCAAAATCTAATGATCGCCTCCATAAGTGATGTATTTATTCTTTTTATGCTTTACAAGAAACATGATCTTGTATATCTACAATTGTCTAAAATTTTTAAATAAATCATAAAACTGAAGTTGATCAATCTTGTCATTGCTAACAAATTAATTTCTAAATTTTCAAAACATTAAATTATTTGTAGAAGAGATTGTCTCATAGTTCAATAATGTTCTGGACAAATACTTAAAGAAGTTTTATTTTCATCTTATCTTTTATTTAAATTTCATTCTCAAATATGTATTTCATATTTTATAATTTAATCTTCAAGTTTAGTAAATAATGATTTCATAATATTGAACATTACGACAAGCATTTTTTTTTTCATTCAAGAATATGTTATTCGTCATCGATTGAAATTGATATATCTCACTTGATTTTGTAAGTGTACATCGTCATACAAAAATATTATGATATCAAATTTTAATTCTTAATAGGATTATTATACAAAACCGATAAATGATTTCGTCTTGAGTTCATAACATTTGATCTTTTTGTTCGATGATCATCAACATGTTAAATTTTTTCGTTTTATTCTCATTTTGTCTAATATCAATTAATGGTCATGGTTATTTATTTGAACCAGTTGCACGTAGTTCAGCTTGGCTTGTTGATCCATCATTTAAAAAATGTTGTACTTATTCTGGTCATATGGAAATGTTTTGTGGTGGTGTTGGACATCAATGGAATGCAAATGGTTTCGTTACTTCTTTGTTTTGTTTTTGATTTTATTATGTCATTTTTAATCTTTTATTTAGGAGGTAAATGTGGTATCTGTGGTGAACCATATGATAGAGCAGTTAAATTATTTGAAAAAGGTGGAACTATGTATACAGGTAAAATTGTCCAGACATATATTCAAGGAGAACAAATCGATGTCAAAGTCAAAGTAAATAAAAAAATAAAAAGAATTTTTGTTAATTTTATTTTTCTTGTAGTTATCAGCAAATCATCAAGGTTATTTTGAATTTCGTTTATGTAATGTGGATAGTAATCCAAATTCAGATGCAACACAAGAATGTCTTGATCGTCGACTATTAAAAATTGCTGGAACAGATTCAACAAAATATCGTGATATTACTAAACATGGTTCTGAAATGATTACTGTTCGTGTTCAACTTCCATCAGATGTTGTTTGTCAACATTGTGTTTTTCAATGGAAATATACCACAGGAAATAATTGGGGTCGAGATCCTACTACTAATAAATCAGGTCCTGGTTTAGGAAGAGAAAATGAAACATTTATGGGTTGTTCTGATATAACTATTTTGGCCACTAGTCCAACGACTACTCTTCCAACACTTGTAATTAGTCCTACAACGTAAGTCAATTGTCTTATTTATTCTATTTTAATTATAATATTTCTATAGCACTATAACAACAACAACCAAATTAATATCACGATCGACAAAATATTGGTCAATATCATTACCAAAGCATTGGTCAGCATTACTAACATTTATTTCATCATTACCAACAACAACAACAACAACAACAACAACAACAACGACGACGATGACAACCAAGACTACTGCTAGTTTATCCGCATGGTCACCATTATTAGTTGCTTATCAAAGAGGTGATGATGTCATGTATAATGGTATGAAATATCGATGTGTTACTTCTCATCGATCATATGCAGGTGCTGAGCCAAGTCCTCTTACTTGGGCTTTATGGCGAAAAATTGAATAACTTTTTTACTTTTACTAATAAATAAATATGCATAATCAGTAGGAATTCTTTGTTTTTTTTTTAATACAAGCACACTGTTTTTATTTATTAAGTAACAAGGAGATTAAACAGAACTCTATCTATGCAAAAAAAAGGATCTATATACATAAAAAAAGCAATCACCGAGCTGATTGGTTATATTATTTGAGTAGTTGTTCTGCTGCAAGAGCATAACTTTTCACTCGTGAAAAAATTAATGCTGGATATGCATGTCGATCATTGACTACATCAAGTAGTGTCGAACGTTCTTCACCTGTTCGTCTATATAAAAGTAATTTTATTCAAAAAAAATGTATATATATATATATATATATAAATAATAAAATCTTACTTATTAGTAAATTTAATTTCATAATGTGTCCATACAAGTTGATGATATTTTTTCTTTCCAGCATCACACATTTCAAATTCCTAGAAAGAAAAAATTTTAAGAATTTATTTCATAGTTCGATAATAAAAAAAAAAGTTTTTTTTTTACCATATTCATTGTTTGTTCAATATCAGATGTTTGTAAATCTTTACCACCACGTCGTTGAGTACTAGTCATAGTTGAAGTTCGTTGAGTAGTACGTTTTGCTACAATTAATACCTATGAAATGCAACGAAAATTAAAGTTATTGATGATAATATATTTTATGTGTTTACTCGATTATTTTGTAAACGATAATTTCCATAAATAAGTGAAGAATCACGAATTGAATATCGACTTTTTAAACGAGCAACTGTTGCACGAGGTTCATCAGCTATTATATACGAATATAAAAATTATAATTTTCTATTTTTTTTTTTTTTTTTTTATTTATCTTACCACTCGTATATACCAAAACAATACCTATAAAAAAAGAACAGTTAATTGTAATATATTAAATTAAATATAAAAACAAACCATCAGGAAAAAATCGTATATATCGATAGTATTCAACAAGATGCCATGGCGAATAAAATGTATCTAAAGATTGTTCACCTTGACGAATATATGTTGCTCGACTAATATACACACCTAGAAAACAAATAATCATAACTCTTAATTTCTCAAAACTACGTAAATTGAAACAGAAAAAAACCCTCCTCAAAAAGACACTGCAAGGAAAAAAATATTTCGAATAAAAAAAGATAATGATTCGATCGAGATGTACAGGGTAAGGCTTTTTCGCATTCTGACTAAAAAAAAAGTTTTCTAACCTTCAATCTATTCTACAAAATGTCTACTCCAAAGATGAGATCGATCGGTAAATGTCGATCTACTGGCAAAGAATCGGTTCATATACTGAAACTTTATCTTATCGTGCACTCTAAAGCTCGTCAGGTGCAACATTTTCGGAGCTGGACCCAGTTGAACCGTACTTTGATACTCTCAATAAAAGTTTTTGATTACATATTTCTCAGATGACTAGAGCCTATCGAGTTCGGGTCCGAGACCAATCCGATAGGCTTCCGCATACCATGAATCTAGAAAATTTGAACGATTCTTTGAAAATGTTCTGAACATTCATTTTTTTCTGGTTCAATGATCAATTTATTTCTCTAAAAACACTGTTTAGTTTAAAACTCGTGACATAAATAAGAGATGGAACCGATTCAGTGTATTGATGATCGGTCTCTGCTCTACCTTAATCTTACTCTACGAAGTTTTTATCTCACTCTTAGTTAACCCTACTCCAGTTGAAAGATTTTCGAAGTGATCAATATTAAATGTATATCACTTTAGAGATATGCAAAGTAAGCTTTGTTGTCATATTCTGATTGAGAAAAAATTTCTAATCCTTACTCCGAATAACTTTAATCAAGATTCATATCACAAGAGAACCTGACTATCACTAGCAAATATATTTCTTTCAAAAGATTATCAAAATTTCTAAATGTATCGAAAAATTTAATTTCATAAACATTGTTTTTTTTTCCTACCATTAAAAACTACATGTGGTCTATTAATAAACATATGACGCCAATTAATATTTGTAGACGAATTCCCTATATTAACACCCCATGTTTTAAAACAAATCATTTTCCATAATTGAGAATCTCGTGCACATATATAAAAACCTCGACATACACGTGCACATTGTTCTAATGAACGTATATCTAAATCTGATGAGACGACCCAACGAAATATATAAATTAATACTTCCGATGGAAGACTTGATATATGTGTGGCCTACATTAAAAAAAACCAAAACAAATTAACTTTCATTTTACTCAAACAAAATAAAAATTTACTTGTTGAGGAAAATTTTTAACACATATAGCTGAAAGTTCACTATCATCCATATGAATACGTTGTAAAGAATCAATAAGACTATCATCTTGTTCAGACACCTCATCTATATTATTATCTTCATCAGCATCTTCTCTATATAAAACAAAAAATAATAATAATAATAATAATTATTATTATTTATTTAAATAAAATATCTTTACATACTGTCGATTATTTAAATCCATTGTTGTTATTTGTTGTTGTCCTTTTCGAGCCATACGAAATTCAATATCCGGTACTAATTGCATAGCTGCTCGATAATATTTTATAGCTAAAAAGAAAATCATAAAAATTATTTAGAAAACGATATTAAATAATATCTTACCATCATATAATTTGCCTTCACGTTCCAAATCAGATGCACGTTGAAAAAAATGTTTTGCCTATATTAAATAATTAAAATTCAATTAAATATGAATTATTTTTTATTTTGTTTTACCTGTTCTTCAACATTAATAGGTTCTTCTTGTTCTTTTTGTTTATCATTAATAACATGCCCATAGACAGTTCGTTGTTGAATTTCTTTTTTCCATTTATTAAGAAATTCATCTAATTGAAGTTCAATACGTCGTTCATTAGTTCGTTGTTCATTCATTTCATATTCACAATCATCACTATCTCGGTCAGAATCCTGTTTAAAATAATTCATCAATAAGTTAATGATCAATGTATGTATAAATACTTACCATGGTAAAAGAGAAGATTATTTAAAGATCACGGAAAGAAAATTGAATAACTGAATTATATAATTTTGCTCGACGGGCACCAGCCATTACACGAAAGATAATATAAATTGTAAAATGAAATGTACTTTTACCTTAAATATAAATATTTACTACAAAACTGTGTATTAAATCCATATATTATCTAATCTATTACTGACATCTATTATGCAATACTTTTTGTTTATGATGAAATTGCTGATGTAAATTTTCTTTAAAAAAAAAAGGGATTATTATGATGAAATAATTTATTGAAATAATTCGTCACTATTTCCTTCAATGAGGTCACTACTTGATGATAAGTGCAAGACATTCATGAAAATATTTATTGAGAAAAAAGTCGATAGTAAGTAAACACACACTTATTGTATGTTCTATTCTATTTTTAATGGCAATAAACATTTGTACCTCCTAGCTATTCATCCAATCAACTTCCAATGTTGAGAAGACACCTAGAGAAGTTGACAAGGTCTTACTACTTGCAAAATGTGTCAATGACAAAGGCATTTCATTGATTTTACTAGAATTTGGAAGCAGTATTTCGGACCGAAAAGTCTTAGAATTATTTCCAATGTTTTGCAATCGGTTCTCGCTCGAGAGAACAGAAAGTAAATCGAAAGTCATCAAAAAAATCCGAAAACATTCCGGTCCAGAATACTGCTTTCATGTTCTATCGTTGGTATCACAACTGAGCGGTCATTATTTACTATATGCAACTTCTATTAATGTTATATATACTTGTACTAAATATTTAAATCATAAAGGAAAAATTTATTAAACATAGGTTATCAAGGTTACGTATTTCATATCTCTTTTTCGATATGAAATGATATCTAAAGAATTGATTAAAAAGTTGAAAGTTCATATCGAGTATTCAAGCAATTACCTTGCACACTTCCAATGGACAGATCAACAGAATGCTTGCTCTCATCAATAGATTATTCAAGTAGTAAGAACTTTTCTATGTTTCTACATAAAATTTGGTAAGGTATGTATATCTGTTGTAAGTATTTACATTGATTATTTAGTATATTTCTTCTCTATGTGGATATTCATTTTTTTATACAACTTCGTCTCGTCTTAACTTTTTCCTGCTTCAGGAAACAGTCTACGATTTCTCGACTTGTTTCGGTCTGTGAAATGAACCATGATAATTATTTAGTTAGATAAGACTTTATACTATCAGAAAAATCTTTCTCTTCAGAGTGTTCAGTGTTGAAGAAAGATCCAGGTGTAGTCTTTTTTGACATGTCATATCTATGTGATCTGCTATCACAAGATTTCAGATTGAATTTCTATATTAAAATTTCCGGTGCCCACACCTGTAAGACCCGACTCTTTTGAAGCTTACCTTAACTGATAGCAACAAGTCTAAATTCTCTTAACAATTGCAACAGTTTATGAATGGTAGAAATCAACTTTCAAATCATAAAATTAACTCATATATTTTACCTAGTCTTGTTACTTGAAGATGTTATCCAATAAAGTATGCTGAATATGAATTTGAATAATAAATATTTAAACTCTAAATCAAATAAATTCTAATATTAATTGATCTCGAATTATCTATTCTCAAATTTTCTTGATTTAAAGTAATAACAATATATTAATGATTTTTGTTCAATATCTACTAAATAATTTAAACAATAAAATTGATTTTATTTATGTAACAAGTCAATGTCTTTCAAAGTCTATAAGCAAACAAATAAATAAACAAAAATAATTTTTAAATAATTTCTTTTTTTTAAATTTGTTTCAAATGAACTGTTGATGGTGATAAAACTGGAAAGTTTTTAACAGGACAAATCACTGTTTTTAAAGGTTGTCGTTTAAAACGTTTATAAACTAAGCCACATTGATTAACATATCGATCAATAGAACCATCAGAATCATATGGAAATATAAGTCTTTTTAAATGTGGATATAATGGTTCTGGTAAACGTGGTAGATCATAATAAAGTATATCTGCATGCCATATAAATAATGTTACACATAAACCAAGAAACATATCAACAGAATAATGATGAAATTCAACAACAGCTCGAATCATTCGTTGAATAACTTGAATCCATATAAATAAACGTATTAATAAACGTAATAATGCAAATGGATATGATGAACAAAGAATTGTCACAGCTACTGCTGATATTGTATAAACAATGACATGACCACTATATAATAAATCATTACATGCACCACCTAAAAATAAATTTATATAAAGAAATAATTTCTAAATAGAAGAAGAAGAAAAAAACAAGTTTATTTACCTGGACTTAAATTGAATGGATCAACTGGTCCAGTAAAATTACATTTTGGATTTGGATTAGGTAAAATAGTCATTGAAAATGTAATAACACGAATTGCTCGTGCTATAGTTAAACATCGAACACCTTTTTGTAAAACTTTTAATCCTCTTGGTCCATGTAAAAAACAATACAAAATCCATAAAAATAAAACACTATTCGTATCAACTTGATATGTACTTTCACCAATATAAGCAAATTCCATAAATGTTCGATTTGCATTACTTAAATATTCTTCAGCTAAATCACGAAGTGGTGTTCGATCATGTTCTAATAATGATATAACTTGTATCATGGTATTTTCAATCAGTAATTCAGTAATCATGAATACAAGATCACGTATAGATTTTAAGGCATATATAGCTATTTCAGGTGTAATATGGTAATGCCAGAATAGTTTAAAACTATCAATAATAAATATTAGTGAAAAAATATCTGGTTGCTCATATCGAGCTTGTTGATAACGACGACGAGGCTGGGTAGGCATATGTATTGCTCGTGGTTGCGCATCACCAATTTAACATTTTCTATCGATGCAAAGAAAAGAGCAAATCAAGAGAGAGGGTTTATGCAATGCACAACACACGTACGTATATATATACATATATATATAACATACGGAGGCAATGATAATGATCTACGAAAGATGTACCAAACATACCGTTGACTATTTGTCAACATTCAACAATATTTGATCCCTTTCTTTTTCTTCATGTATTATATATCCGAATCATGTGTACCAACTTTGTCATCAATACTAAAATAAATATCAAACTTCTAAAAGAAAAAAAGATTCATACAAATTCATTTGAAACATTATATAAAATTTCAAAATAGTTTAGAATTTTTTTTTACTTTTATTTGATAGATTAATTAAAACTTAAAATGTATCGTTTTTAAATATAAGACAATTTTTTTTCGAAATTTTATAAAATGAAATTTTGATAGTTGAAACTATGATAAATCTATTTCAAGCCAATAATGTAAACAGTATTTCCTTGTTAAATATGTGTTACTATTCTATTACTTGATCAAATTTGTGATTACAACACGGATTGTTTGAAAACGTTTGATGATCAGAATTCCGCTAATTTATATGTAAATTAGACGTGAATTAAAAAAATGGCTATCAACTACATTAATAGTTTATGTTGATCTATGTCGTTGTCATAAATTTTCTATATCGTTTCAGATAATGACTGTTCAATTAATGCCTGTCACAACTCGTGCTGCTTCGTTAAGAGCTCAGACCACTGGAGGAACAACACCGTTAGCGAATTCAACAGCGTTAACACAGGTATTAATGCCAATATTGACCGGTAAAACAATTCGAAAATGTCGATCACAGTCAAAGCAACTTAAAGTACAGCCTTCTATCACTTCTATTGAACCTGAAATATGTTCCACCGTTGAACAAAAATCATCAGTTTTGCAAGTTTAATCTACAGTTAAAGTTAACAGTCATCATAATTGTGAAGATAAAATAACTGAAGAAGAAATTTATAAGAAAGAAACATAATTTCATCTTCGCAATAGTCAATCAACAACTTTTTTTATTATCATCATTAATTCCATCATAAGCATCGTCCCGTTATAAGGTCAATAATGTCAACAACAGAAACCGTGAAAAATAATTATCATACATAATCGTAAAAATCATCGAACAATGACGAGGATGACATGAGATTTGATCATTCAAATGCTACTATTAATAAATTAGTGGTAAAAAGATATATTACAACCAGCACATCAACTCGAGTCTATAGGCTTTTTTATTTTAAGCTGAAGTTTGAGACATTCTCACTTTTGGTAAACAACAGAGCTTTAGAAGATCTAAAAAAAACTGCCTGTTTCTCAATACGTGATTTGAGAAGAGGAGGAAAAGCCAGAATTGGTGGTGTGAATCTCCTCTTCACCTTCACCCTCACGTAATACTTAAATTAACGACTGTCAATTGATGTTTATTTAATTGTCGATAAATATCATAGATGATGAAATAAAATACAAAATAGAAGATCAACATTTTGTGCACGTAAATTATTCGTTAATATCTGGTATAAAACTAATCCATAAGTCTACCATCTCAAACGAATATTTCTGGTTAATATCACAAACAATAGCCAATTAGTTACTGTTGATCTTTTATTTTAGAGAGGAAAAAGAAGTTATTGCTTATCGGATTCAATAGATATCATTCGACTATGTGCACGATTTATTGTCCACGGACTTACTTTCCGTTGATTATTTGGAGAAACAGAAATGAGTAAATTTCGTGGAGTCAAAAACTTTTATGACTTTCTTGAATTGCAGAGTAAAAACAAGAAAAAAATAAGGCATTTCTGATGGTGAAACAGACAAAAAAATTGATGCTTTGCAAATTCATTGATGAAAAACGACATTTTAATTAAGCAAATGCAGTGAATTTCATTTTTAATCAAAATTATGCAATAAAATTAATGGAAATGTCTATTTTAATCAATGAATTTGAAATACATCAATTTTTTTGTCCGTGTCATCATTTTAATGCCATTTTTTGATTTTTTAACTCTCCGAGTTCACTTATACACTCTAAAACACTTGTAAAATTCCACCTGATATTAACTTAGATAATACTAAGGAATGATAGCAATATTATCTTATTCTTTTATTTAAGTTTTAAGACATATTCGTCAATAATATTCGACACAACAATGATAAAATAAGTGCAGATCCTTGTGCCTTTCTGATAGCCACATTTTTGGATTAATATAGAAGAACGGTTTTCATTCTAATACACTCAATCAAAAAAAAAAGATAGGTATTAATAATTGTATCACTCCTCATTTCGTTTCCAAACATCTTCATCAATAAGACATAAAGGTTAACAATGATATGAATAGTTTTGATATGCATGTTAGTGTGCTAATATTTTTGGAAGCTTATAGAAAAGCGCAATAATTTTGTCACACATATTGACTCAATAATCTTCTTAAGTTCTAGAAAGTTATCTCCTATAGTGTATAAGAATAAGAAATTCTGAAATTGTTTTGAAACTAATAAGATTTCTTTGATACCATTTTAATGAATATTGCATATCATTAAATAATGTTTTATATCTGTCACAAGTAAATACATGTAGATTATAAATGGAATCTGTAGTTTTGCATTCGAATGATTGAAGAAATGTTTAGAATAATTATCGAAGATTATTATTGTGATGGAAACATGATACAGCAATTGACAACTGTTTGCAGAAAAAGAGCCTTGTATAAAATTAATTGTTTTTTTTTTAAGTTTTGTTTTCATCGTTCGAATTAGTTACAAATATCTTTTTTCTAGAAAGAAACTTTTCGATAGCTATATATTAAGCAATGATTATACGAAATTGTAGTTGTTTCTGTTTTCAATATAAATATACACTTATAATCATGATGGTATCTATTCATTCAATAAAATCATCAAATATCAATATTCATCTATCGAAACAAGGTCATCATATTTTCTTGTATTGTTTGTTATGAAAAAAATATCTTCTTAAAAATTATCAATGCCACTCTAAATCAAAATATTTCAACAAGCAATTAATGTATTTGTAAAAATCCTTAAAAAAATATGATGCATGTAATGGTATGAAGATAAAAAATGAATAGGCCATCGTACATTTATATGTAGTTTTCATTGTCGTTATTATATTGATGCACTTTGAAAAAATCGATTTCTTTCAGCTGTTGGATTCATAAAGACAAAAAAAAGGAACGGCATATGTTAAATAGCTAATACCTCAATTTTTACTTTGTTTTTGGTATCAGCTGTAGTGAAAAGACCATACTAATCGATATTCTTTCATCAATTTTTTCCGGATTCTTGTTTTATTTTTATCGATCGATCAAGATTTTTTTTAGAGAGGAAGGAAAACGTACTATATCGTGCCGTAATTATTCTATATTAACTAAAAAGTTAAAAATTAATTCATTGACAAAGATATTATGGAAATATATTATCTAAATTACAATCAAAAATTATTTTTCTTTTATTTCAAACTAATATGTAAACAGATAAACACTGAAGAATTAGAGATACATTTGTATGAAAATTTTGGCATGTTTTTTGTTTTTTTCGGTTTTACCAACGATCAATTGGACAGTAAACTTATTAATTTGTGACACTGTTGTATCATATTTGAGCACAAATGATTTGACGTCTATTAGTGTAGAAATTTCATCATTAACCCAGTTTTTTATTCAACTGTTGGAATATAATATTCCAACGCAAAGAGAAAATAATCTGATGCATTATTTTTATTTGGCTACCATTTAAGTGGTCAGTATAATAGATGAAATGGTCAGTAAAAAAATATGTAAATGATCAGTATAATTATGAAATGGTCAGTATTGAAATTGGCAGTAATTAATTGTAAAATGGTCAGTTTATTAAATAAAGTAGCAGTAAAAAATTTCATCTTATATCAGTAAGAAATACAAATTTGGTCAGTGAAAAATACAAAATTTATCAGTAGAAAGGTAAGTTTTATCAGTAGAAAATAAATTTAAAAAAATCAAAGAATCACATAATTAGGAGAAATTTTAACAGCAATTGAAAAGAAAAGAAAAAGAAAATCAAATTATTGTATCAATAAAGAAGATTTAGCCTTTGCTGGTCTACCTCTTTTTCTTTTCTCACCGATTGGAACTGTTTTTGCCGCTGACGGTGGTTTTCAATATTTCAAACGAATAGGGTGTGGGTAGGTGTGGGTGTAGGGTATGTGCGTGTGGGATGTTTATGTGTCCGTGAGTGTAGCTGTGGCTGTCGCGTTGAGTGTGGGTGCGGGTATCGAGAAAGAGTTTATACACATCCACACCCACATCCACCCTATATATAGGATAGATAAAAACAGTGACGAGAGAAGAAGTCGAGAAGCTTCTTTTCCTTTATTTTAGACAATGCACAATAAGAAGAATTAAAACAACGACTCCTCTTATTCACAAAATGTGTAGGTTAAAAGAAACAGATTAAAAGAATAGGTCAAAAGAACCAGAATACATTTACAGGGTAATTGAAAAGTAACTTTCTATCTTAAATTCTTTGTTACTCTCAAACGACAAAAGATATCGTCCTGATTTTTTCACCATTGTGAAGTATGGTCTATGGCATTTCGTTCTAGATGAAACAAATCGATTGATCATTTGGCTGTCTAAGATCAAACCCAAATTTTGTCTTGACAACATATGGAAAAAACTCATTATTTTTGGTAGTTTATTATTCGTATACTAGAAGCAGGATGTTAGTGTGTTGATTTGGGTGAACATTTTTGCATTGTCCAAACACACATCACAACTTCACATACACACCCATATGCACATCCCACACCTATACGCACACTCACATCCACACCCTGATTCTACTACAAGAATAATAAACTACTAAAAATAATTATTTTTTCCCATATGTTGTCAAGACAAAATTCGGGTTTGATCTTAGACAACCAAACGATCAGTCGATTTGTTTCATCTAGAACAAAATGCCATAGTCTATGCTTCACAATGGTGAAAAAATTAGGACGATATCTTATGTTGTTTGAGAGTAATAAAGAATTTAAAATAGGCAGTTACTTTTCAATCATCCTGTAGAGTAGCTGAAGACAAGAAAGAAAAGGAAAAAAGTGATTCACTCTATACCCATTTCAATTTTTATACTGATCCTTTAATATAATCGACTGTTAATAAATTATATTTACTGATTTTTAAATGTATTTGCAAACCTAATTAGTTAATAACCGACCGTTTAAATAATTTACTGATCAATCATTTATTTTACTGACCAATCATTTATTTTACTGACCGATCATTTATTTTACTGGTCAATCATTAAATTGACTGATTTTATAATTATCTCACTTACTGACCATTTCATGTATTTTACTGACCTTAAAATAATTCCCCTTTTTATTTCAATGTTCAAATAGTTTTTACTTCTTTTCGAAAGCACGATAAACTGTTGGTGAAGTTGTATATATCTATTTTAAAGTATCCATTTGTAGATTAAGAGACTTTTATTTTCAAATAAATTTACGGTTTTTTCAATATAGAAAATGTTAAAGGAAAAACTATTTCGACAAATGAAGTTGTCTCATAGATCATCATAAATTTTGACGCAGATAGAATTTATTTTTTGTATGATTATTAAAATGAACCATTTGATTATTATTTAATAATCTTCTTATTTTCAAAACATAATTTTACTCTTTATTTGTCAGTGTTTATTCATTTATATATTAGTTTGCAATTAAAAACATATATATTTTTCGATTGTAACTTTAATTTGGATAGTATGTTTTCATAGTATCATTGTCAAATTTAACATATTCTTTTCAGATGATGTATGAATTGCATGTTACTATGAGGTAATTCCACATATGAGATTTAAAAAATATAGATTTTGATCCATTAGTGTATTGAATTGTAGTTAGATTGTAAATGAAGCATTATTGACTATAGTTGATCAATATGAAGAAAA